GGGAGGGAGAGAGAGAGAGGGAAAGAGAAAGAGAAAGAAAGAAAGAAAGAAAGAAAGAAAGAAAGAAAGAAAGAAAGAAAGAAAGAAAGAAGGAAGAGACACCTGTTCTGGAGATCGCCCTTAGTTTCCCCTTAGTTTAACTCTCCTCCAACGCACATTCAGGCTTCCAGTGAAACGCTATTGACAGGAGCCTCGGGACAAACTTCAGCGGAGCTGGTTTTCTGCCAACCGCTGAGCGCCTCGTTTAGCGGGCATCTCGTAGCGGAATTCGGAGTGGCGGATTTCATGGGCTCCGGCGCGAGCCAAAGTCAGAGGAAGCGCCGCGACTGCAGCAGCTTCTGTGCCGAGCGAGGTGGTCGGTTTGGGGGAAACGTCGAAAGAGGACGCCGGTCGATTCCAGGGGGTTTCCAACCCACGAACCCAACGGGGCTTTGTCAGGAACGGTTCGAGGAGGGAAATGCTCCGGTACGTTTCCCTATTCCTGAATGCCTTTCCAATGGCAGATTCACAGTCGCAATGTTGGCGCGCCTGGAACGGAGGTTAGACGGTTCAGACAAACAACTTCGCGTTTCTTAAGCCGGAGCTTGCTTGGAAACGAGTTCTTCTCTTTTTAAAAAGGGTCCTAGTCTCCTCCCCCCCCCTCTTTTTCCTTTTCCTTTCCCCCCCGCTCTTCCTTTTACGGAACCAGGTAGCAGCAGCGAACGGCGCCTCTGTTATCCAGAACAAGACAAGAGAGCGAGAGCCAGAATAGGAAAAATGGAAAGATAGACCAAGCCCTGAAATGCCCCAACGGGCAACAGAGCGGACGGACGCAGGGGAGATTTCTAGATTCCTTTTATCAGGCCGATCGTGGCAAATGAGGCTCCCTTATCAGCAGCCTCGTCTTTCGGGGCAGCTTCGTCCTTAGGAAAGAAAGTATTTGGGGGAGAATCCAAAGGCGACTTTCACTTTGGAGTGCGGGGTTCGCGCGAGAGCCTCCCCCAACCTTCTGCCCTTCCTACAGGCTAGACTGCAATTCCCATCATCCCCAAACAGGACCAAGGGATGGCTGGGAAGGTCGTCGCGGGTGGCCCAATTTCTCTCTGGAAGCCTAAAATCCCTCGATCCCACCCGGAGCCGACTCCTTTGTTAAGGCGGGCGGTATAGAAAGCGCTCCGCATCTTCTCGGGGGATTCTTTGGCCCCGTTTGTCGCCGGAGCTCCAACTCCGAGAGCAAAGAGATTGAGGGGGGGGGGNAACCCACCGTGACACGTCACAATACGTCACATGATATGATTGAGCTTGACACTTGTGGTTTAGGGTCTCCTGCTTAAGGAGGGGATTGGACTGGAAGGCCTCCAAAGTCCTTTCAGCCCCATTACTTCCATGTTTTAAAATATGGGTCGTCATTTTTGCTTTAAACAGCGAAGGTACAGGTAGTCCTCAACTTACAACTGTTCATTTAGGGACGGTTCAAAGTTACAACAGCACTGAAAAATGTGACACGGCCATTTTTCACACTTACAACCTTTGCAGCATCCCCATGATTTTATGATCAAAATTCAGGTGCCTGGCAA